CAGCTTTCACAAGCTTGAATTCTGCTGGCAGGGGAGTTGCAACCTTGCGCTCATTCTCAATTCTGTACTTCTCCCCAAGCTCCTTGATGAACTTCTCCTGGTGCAGCTTCAACCACCTGTGATCCAGATCCCTCTCCACGTGCATCCCGAGGTAGTACTTTACCTCCCCAAGGTTCTTGCACTTGAAGTTCTCCATCAGCTGCTGCTGCACCTTCTGGATCTCCTTCATGCTGCTGCTAAAGAGAAGAATGTCGTCCACATAGACCAGAAACAGCACCAGCTTCTCCCCCTCCCCCTTGAGAAAGAGGCTCTCATCACAGCTGCTGGTCCTGAATCCCATCTCCTCTAAAACAGCTGCCAACTTCTGGTACCAGCAGCGTGGCGCCTGCTTCAAGCCGTAGATGGACTTTTTCAGCTTGCACACCCTGCCCGTACCATCCTCATACCCAGGTGGCTGCGTCATGAACACCTCCTCCTCTAAAATCCCGTTGAGAAATGCCGTTGATATGTCCATCTGGATAATGAACTTCCCACTGACGGCTGCATCTGCCAACAAGACACGAAGGGTAGGGGGTTTGGCAGTGGGAGCAAAGATCTCATTGAAGTCCCGCTTCTCCTTCTGCATAAACCCCTTAGCCACCAACCTACTCTTGTAGATGGTGACCTGCCCCTTGTCGTCAGTCTTGATCCTTAGCACCCACTTGCATTGTACCGCTTTCTTTCCCTCAGGCAGCACCACTAGTTCCCAAGTCCCATTCTCCAGCAGGCTCTGGTACTCAGCATCCCTGGAAGCTAGCCATTTGTCCCTATCTGGTCCAGCTAATGCCTCCTCCATGCTAGCTGGTTCCTCTGGTGCAGGGGCAAGAAAACAGTACGCAGGTTGATCCTCCTCATCCGGGTCATAGCCATGCGGTAGAATCAGCAATGCCTCCTCGGTCCCAAGCTGCTGCTCCGCTACATCAGCTCCTGCAGTCAGCTTCTTAGTAGCCATACGGGTACGTCCTGGCCTGGAGACGGGTGTCTCCCATCCCTTCATAATAACACCCTTCGGCTTCTTAGTTTTCCCCTGCTGCTGCTCTCCTCCCTCGGATCCAGCAGCTCCACTAGTGCTACCGCTAATCTCCACACCATCACCTCCACCAGCAGGTGCCTCCTGCACCTTCTCTTTATCACCACCCTCTGCAGCTGCCTCCTCTCCCTCCTCCCACACACTAGGAGTCAGGTCCAGCTGCATGGTAATCTGCTCCATCTGCTGGGACACCCTGGCCTCCGGCTGTTTCTCCCAGCTCCCATACATCATGCCCTCAACAAACTTCACATCCCTGCTGTCAAACAACACACCCTTGGAAGGCTCCCACAGCAGCCATCCCTTGCTTTCAGCAGCCAGCCCCAAATGCACACACCAGATTGCACTCGCCCCCAACTTACTGCGGTAGGTCTTGGGAACGTGGGCGACTGCCATGCAACCGAACACCCTCAGCATGTCCACCGGCGGCTTCCTCCCAAGCCACCTCTCCAACGGCACCCACGAGTCATCCCCAACCTTTGTGAGTACCCTGTTCCTAGCGACGGTAGCGTGCCGAACAGCATGGGGCCACATGGAGTTGCCCAGCCCAGATTCTATGAGCAGCGCCCTAGCTGTCTCCAGAATTGTCCGGTTCGCCCGTTCTGCTACACCGTTAGACTGTGGGGTGTAAGCCGTGGTCAGCTCCCTCTGGATGCCCTGCTTCTTGAGCCAGGCCATCATCTCAGCTCCAAGGAACTCACCACCCCGATCTGTCCTAATCCGCTTCACCACACACTCCGCTTGCTTCTCCACGAACGGCAGCCAATCGTCCCGAATCGTGGAGGTGGCGTGATCTTTCTGCTTCAGCGGATACGCCCACATTAGCCTGCTCCAGTCATCCACTATGGTTAGGAAGTACCGCTCCCCCTTGTGCCCTTGCACCGGCAGCGGCCCCACCAAGTCCATGTGGACCAGCTCCAACGGCTTTTTGCTCCTGCCAGCCACACTATGGAAGGGGAAACGGGTGAACTTTGAAAGGAGGCAAATTTCACAGTTATCATCGGGTGGTTGTCCGTTCAGCTTTAAGCCCTTAACGGCTCCATCCTTCTCCAGCTGCTTCAGCAAAGGCATTGCCACATGCCCCAAACGTCGGTGTGCAGTTGCCCAATCTGTCTCCCCAGATCTGGCCGACACTTTCACACCAACCCCTCCAACGGCGTTGCACTCCCCCTGGGATGCAGACCCCTCTCCAGCCTGCCCCCCACCATGCCACGCCAGCGCCGGCAGCTGCCACATAGATCTGTACACGTCCTTGCTCTCGTGCAGATCCCAAAGCACCCGATTGCCCAGCTTCCCCTTATAAGTGCGAGCCCCATCCGTGTTGGTGTTCACCCCAGCCTTGCCAAGCTTACGGAGGGAGATGAGGTTGGCCTTCAGGTCGGGGACGAGAAGAACGTCGTGCAGCACCACCGGCTTGCCATCCGCTCCCTTAAATGCAGCTCGTCCCGCACCAGCCACCTTCAACATGTGTCCAGAGGCAGAGCACACCTCATTAATCGGTGCAGCGCGTACGTCGTCCAGCAGGTCCTTGCGCGGCGTCATTGTCCAAGCAGCGCCTGTGTCCAACACCCAATAGTCCAGGGGGTGCAGCTCTGCTCCAGCCTTAGCAGATGCGTCTCCTTGCTCCCCCTTGTCTCCCATATAGAAGAATTGGCCCGCGGTGCGCTCCTTCTTCTTCTCCGCACCGCCGTTGCCCTTCGGGTTGTTGTCGGACGAATCAGCGACCATGTTGGCGCCGTTTTTTCTGGTTCCTCCGCGCGCCGCCATCCTGGTGACGATTCTGGGGGGTCCATCCATCGGGTTTCTTATAGCACAAAAACCAGGGGTGCCCTTCCTTCTCACAATACCAGCAACTCCCTTTCATTTTGCCACCAGCACCCGACTTGCCCCCACGTCCAGATTTCGCACCGCGACCCCAACCGGTACCTCCTTGTTGGTCGTTGGAGTCGTCGTCTTTCTTTGCACCGCGTCCAGCACCACCGAAGCCACGTCCTTTGCCACGTCGGCTCCCTTGCATCCCGTAGCCGCTGCTGCCGTCGTCTCCACCCCTCAGTTGGCGGCGACGGAAGTCCTCCTCCAGAATCTTCGTCCGCACCCACTCGAGCGTCCACAAGCTCTGGTTCTGCGGCAGGCTCAATCCGCTCGTAAATTGAAGCCACGATTCCGGCAGCAGCGAGAGCATCTTCAAGCACTTTGTTTGCTCCGGGTAGGTGATTCCCGCGGTCGCCAACTTCGCGTAGAGGTCGCGCAATTTGTCCAGGACAGGTTGCACCGGCTCTCCCTCGCTCAGGCGCAACGCGGACAGCTCCCTCTCCAGCATCAATGTTGCAACAACGGAGGTCGGGGCGTGCAGCTCCTTCAACACGGTCCACGCCTTCGGACCGCACTCAACCTCCGGCAGCAGGTGCATGACGTGGTGACGCTGGTTCAGCTCCAAACTCTGCGACATCAAGTAGTAGCCAGCCGAGGCGCGCTCGTCCCAATCTTCCTGAAGGGCGGGGTCACTCGGTCTAGGCTCCTCCCCAATCATTAGTTTCAGCAATCCGATTTGACGGAAATAAAGTTGCATTTTCCAGGCCCAATCATCATAGCCCTCACCATTGAACTTCTCGACGGTGAAGTTTTTCAGCACCTCCTTGATCAGCGAGCCCTGGCTTGTTCGCGCTCCCCTTGGCGCAGAAACACCAGAATCATGGCTGCCGCTACGATCTTGGGCTGAAGTTTCACCAGCTACCGCCGAGGTGTTGCCCGCCATAGCTACCTATATCGAGGATCACTATAACGCAGCTCTGATACCAGCTTGTTGGTGTAAGGGCCTAATAAACTCAAGCTATTAAGACTTTATCACACTTAAAACCTCTCCTCGGGGTCACCTCCAAGGGTCCTTGGGTGCCTGGTACAAGACCAGCCCCTATCCTCGGGTCCGAGTTTGTAGAGAGAGGGATCAAGAGGGACTTAGTCAAAACAGCAAGAGTACCTTGAACGTTGCGCAGCGTATCGTGCAGACCGTCGATCGGATTAAGCTGAGAATTTCCTATATCGAAGCTCACTCTAAGAGCTTTAAAATAAGCCAAGTTGCCTCGCGAAAAGTTCTGCCATTACGAAGTTATGGCTCGGACAGCGTTAGCCTAGCGTTGGAGTGCTAGCGTACTGGCGTTGACTCGGGTAGCATTCCGCCGTCGCACCGCGTAGAAAAGAAATTCCAGCAAGGAAGGAATTCGCTTGAATCAATTTCACTATATTCAGGTACAAACAGAGAAGGAATAAATAGCACTAGCTAGCAAGGACCTTGGGAATCAACCTGGGAACAACCAGGGATGATCCCAAATAATTCCAAGCAACAGAACCAACCTGGCTGGACAAAATAGCAGGTGATAGGTTGGTGAACAACCTCTGGTTCTGTTTTTCCAACCTGGGGAAACAACAACCAGGTTCAGGTCCTAAAAACAGAACCTGTTTTGTCTTTGCCCAACCAGCCAAATGCTGGTTCCGCTGGTTTCCCCTGGCCCTGTAGCATGCAGATACAGACAAACAACATCCAACCTTCACCTAAATTGTACCCCTATAGTGCCTGCCCTGCTACACTATAGTCAACCAAACAAAACAGTACAATTTCGAGTTGGATAGAACTGAATCTGCGCAATCAAGTAAGTTGAACCGCAAAGCTTCCATCTTGGGTTCCTTTGCGAGCTCGTCCTTTCTGCTTGTACTGTTCATAGCGCGTACAATGTTATGCCGAAGCGCACATTTTGCGAGTACCTGCAAATGCTTCAAGCGAAAATTGCGAAAGCAAACAAACACACAAACATACCATTCACACGCAAATGCATTCGCACACGCATACTCGTACAAACAGACGGCAGGATGTCGTGCAATGTGAATTTGCACCCAACAATGCATTCGCACACGCATACTCATACAAACAGACGGCAGGATGTCGTGCAATATGAATTTGCACCCAACACTCCGCACGACAAAAGGCCCACAAGAGGTCGGAGGAAAACTTACCACATCTGTCAGAGTGCAGACGCAGGACTGGAAGGTCCTTCTCGAACCGCTCGCGGAGCTGGACACGAACAGCGCGGATCCAAGGGATCATAACATCAGGGACCTCCCCCTTGCGCCGCAAGGGGAAGACCGTGGTGTAGCGCGAGTAGTCGTCGACAACCAGCAGAAAGTACCGCCCGTGGCCCTGTCCACGGACGCGGGCTGGGCCCCACACGTCCAGGTGGAGAGTCTGCAGGGAAGCCTCTGTCGGGGGGAACGAGGAGGAGTGAGGAACGGCGTGCTGCCGCCCCCTCGACACAAGGAAGGGTGGGAGGGGCAGGCGAGGGTTGGAGGGGGGGCAGAGACCTGGGAAGAGCAGAGACAAGGAGACTGGAGTGCATGCCACGGAGGCGTGCCACAGAGGGGTGACCAAGGTGGTGGTGCCAAAGGAGCGTTTGGTGCGACAAGACGCGGCACGAGCAGGGGGTCGCAAGCTGACCTGACGCAAACGCAGATACAGCTACCTGAGGAGGCGCAGTAGTCAGTGTGTAAAGACTCGACCCAGGCCGATGGGTGAACGTGGCCAGGTGGCGACCGGTCCGGGAGCACGTACAGATCGCCACACGCTGCCGTCCAGGGGTGAAGGTGTCAACCCCCGCATCCTGGAGGACAGCAGTGCTCACCAAGCTCGTAGAGAACGAGGGGAGGTGGAGACCTGACAGTGACCCAGACGGAACCGCCGGACAAGGCAGAACAGTGTAGGAGCGTGTAGGAACTGGGCCCCTAGAGGGGTCAGCCAAAGAGACAGCAACAGGTGTAGAGAGCGGTGTGACTAAGGTACTGTCGCGAAAGAAACAGTGGGAAGCACCTGAGTCAAGCGTGAAGGTGTACAGGGCCGCAGCAGACGCAGTACCAGAGAGAGCAGACTCACCAGTACCTGAGAGAGCAGACTCACTAGCACCTAGAGCAGCAGCCTCTATACCTGGGTCGGGCGGCACACACAGGTAATAGTCACCTCAGCACGTCTCTGAGACACTCAACACCGAGCAAACCACTCACGAAGCTGCTAGGGCGTAAGGGTCTCACGTGGACGCCGCTGCAGCTGCACCGGGCCACCTCGAGAAACTCCCAACTGAGTAGCTGCACCGCGACTGCCACTACGGCCACTACGCTGAGACGCCCAACGCTGAGCAAACCTCTCACAAAGCTGCTATGATGTAAGGGTCGCACGCGGACACTGCTGCAGCTGCATCTGGCCACTGCCAGAAACTCCCCACCGAACAGCTCCACTGCAACTGCTACGACGGCTGCCACCACTCCCACTGCCACCGCCACCGTCGCCACCACTCACACCGCTGCCGTGAAGTGAAGCCATGCGACCAGTAGGGCAGCACGTAGGGAAGGAAGGGCGGCGAGGAGGCACTAGGGTAGGTCGGGGCGGTGCACGGTCAAGGAAGGGCGGCGCGCGGCCAAAGCAGGGCTGCGCGCTGCTAGAGCAGGGCGGCGCGCGGCCAGAGGAGGGCGGCGTGCGGCCACAGCAGGGCGGCGTGCGGCCACAGCAGGGCTGAGCGCGGCCAGAAGCAGGCAGTAGCTCTTAGGGCAAAAGCACCAAGGGCGCTTTGATTTTTTTTTTTTTTTTTTTTTTTTTGGTTTAGCAGGGCGCACAGGGTGCTGCGGAGGCGGCTCGGGCAGGGAAGAGCAGGGCGCCAGCGTGCGCAGGGCAGGGCGCTGGTGCGTTGGCAGGGCAGGGCGCTGGCGCGGGCAGTAGCGCGCACGGGCAGGGCGGCGCTGGGCAGCGAGTGCAGGCCCGCGGCGAGCGCAAAACGCAGGCACGGCGGGCGCAAGGGGCGGGCCCGCGGCGGGCGTAACGGACAGGTGCGGGAGGGGCGAACGGGCGGGCCCGTGACGGGCCTAACGTGTAGGCGCGGCAGCGCGAAGGCAGGGCCCGCGGCGGGCCTAACAGGCGGGCGCGGCAGCGGGCGTAACGGGCAGGCGTGGCGGCGCGAAGGGAGGGCCCGCGGCGGGCCTAACGGGCAGGCGGTAGGGCGCGACGCATAGGGCAGCAGGGCGCTACGCGCGGGCTGCAGTAGAACGCGACGCGCGAGGCAGCAGAGCGCGACGCGAGGGCTGCAATAGGGCGCAACAAGCAGGGCAGCAGGGCACGGGGCAAAGCAGGGCGTGCGTGAGGCAGCGCGTCGTGGGGCAGGGTAGGGCGTGCGCGATGCGGGGCAGGGCAGGGCGTGCGCGAGGCAGCGCGACGCGGGGCAGGCCAGGGCGTGCCCGAGGCAGCGCGACGCGGGGCAGGGCAGGGCGTGCTCGGGGCAGCGCAACGGAGGGCTGGGCGTACACGGGCAGTGAGACGCAAGGCTGGGCAGGGCAGGGCACGTGCTGATGGCGCAGCGCAGGGCAGTGCATGGGGTAATGCGGTAGCTGCAGTCGGTCACTAGGTAATGGTGGGCTCGAAAAAAATGGTCCTAGGCTAGGACATGCTCTAATACCATGTCAGAATAACGAACAGGGATTAATGAACTAGCAGCAAGATTAGTACTAGGAAACCCTAATTGGGTTGTACCCCATATGGGCTACCCCACTACAACCTACACAATAAGCAGCATTTAAGTTTGACACGAGTTGTCTGCCGTCTTGATCTGCCAGTAACCCGGCCGTAGGTCCAGCTTCGGAAAGATTGTTGCACTACGCGGTTGGTCTAGAAGGTCGTCTATGCGCGGTATGGGGTACTTGTTCTTGACTGTCTCTTTGTTCAGTGTGCAGTAGTCGATGCACATCTGTAACTGCTGTCTGGATTTGGAGTGAAGAGAACTGGTGCACCGTAGGGAGAAGTGGATGGGCGGATCAATTGTCTGTCCAGTGGATACTTAATCTGCTTCTTCATGTTTTTCAGTTTTGTCGGACTAAGTCGGTATGGTGCTCGGGAGACGGGTTTCGCACCTGGTTCCTCCCAAACTCATGCTCGTGGGCTCCACACATTTCCCGTTGTTGATGTTCGTGATCGGCAACGTTGGCTTCTATCTCAACACACCTATTTGCAGCTGCAATGATGCTTTGTCGTGGATGAGAAGCTTCATAGCATCCACCATCGCTGTCGTGAACTGGGTCTCCTCCAAAGGTTCTCCAATTTTCTCCGACGCCTCGCGGTCGCACACCGAGTGGGACGCACCACTGTCCACCAGTGCCTGGAGGGGTCGTCCTTTGCATAACACCTCGAGGAGTATTGGTGTCTGTTGCGCTGAGTAGCCAAAGATATTCTCGTTAATAGGATCATAGGGTACATCAAAGAAATTACCATCCCTTTTTCCTATACCTGACTCAGCACTCTTAGCTTCCAACTTCACCTTAGGGGTATTAGGATTTTTTCTGAGGCTTGTATAACTTCTCCTGAGACTGGAATTTCCGTCTAAGCCTTTGCAGCTGTGTAGGCTTCACCTGTGGGCAACAAGGAGCCTTAACACGGTATTGTGGGGAGAGAATATTAACTTTACAGAACGCACGACCCTTTTCTACGCTCTGTAGTGCTTTGCCCAAATTCTTAGGTACCTGAATAATTTCTAAAGCCTTTTTCTTGGCCTCTAATTCTGCCCTGAATTTTTCAAAGGCTTGGAAACCACGAGAAGTAATATTCTTAGTTTAAGTATCTTCATAGGATTGTCAAACTTATATGCTATGGTCTATCTAGGTTGTAGTGGGGTAGACACTATAGGGTACAACATTTCTCCTTAGTCATTCCACTCCTCATTCTTCACATGGTATAGAGCAGGTTCCCTCGTGGGAACGCCTCTCAGGGCCCACCACTGAACTCGACTTTTTTTTCCTGCCCGAGGCATGCCCCGTAGGCTGCCCTAACGTCGCGCCCTCCTAGAGGCCCCTCGCGCCACCCTTAGCGGCCCCGACGCCACCCCCTTACGGCCCCAACGCCGTCCTTTGCGGCCCCGTCGCCGCCCCTCTAGGCACCTCACCGCCCCTTCGCGGCCCCGTCGCCGCCCCTCTAGGCCCCTCGCGGCCCCTTCCCGGCCCCGTCGCCGCCCCTGGCGGCCTCGTCACAACCCTTCGAGGCCCCTCGTGGCCCCTCTGCGGCCCCGTCACCACCCCTATCGGCCCCGTCGCCGCCCCTAGCGGTCCCGTCGCCGCCCTAGCGGCCCCGTCGCCGCCCTTCGCGGCCACGTCGCCGCCCTTCGCGGCTCCGTCGCCGCCCCTAGCGGCCCCGTCGCCGCTCTTCGCGGCCCCATCGCCGCCTGTTGCGGCCCCGTCGCCCTTCACGGCCTCGTCGCCGCCTCTACCAGCCCCGTCGCCGCCCTTCACGGCCCCTTCACCGCTGGGCCGCCCAGCAGCCGAGCCGCCGAGCCACCCAGCAGCCGAGCCGCCGAGCCGCCCAGCACCCGAGCCGCCGAGCCGCCGAGCCGCCGAGCCGCCGAGCCGCCGAGCCGCCGAGCCGCCGAGCCGCCCAGCAGCCGAGCCGCCGAGCCGCCCAGCAGCGGAGCAGCCCAACCGAGCCGCCGAGCCACCCAGCACCCGAGTCGCCGAGCCGCCAAACCGCCCAGCCGCCGAGCCACCGAGCCGCTGCCGTCGAGCCGCTACTGTCACTGCTGAGCCGGTGCCACCGCGGTAACAACCCTGTTCCTACCGGCGCGCCCCGGCCCTACCCACTCGGACTGGTGAGAGCACTCCCTGCTAGACCACTGCTGTCATGGCTACCCCCAGTGTCCTTACCTTTGATGCTGAGGGTCGTGCTGTTGACTTTGAGGTCTGGGTCGATGACCTCCAGCTTTTCCTCTAGTGCGATAGGGCAGACGGACTCTCCCTGTTCGATCTCACCTATGGTGCGTCTCCTGCCCCGCCTACTGATGCTGACAGCATTGTTCGCTCACAGTGGGCCACACGCGATGCTGCTGCCCGTCTTGCTGTGCGTCGCCACTTACCGACCACTGAGCGTGCGCACTTTAGTCTGTACAAGAGTGCTAAGACCTTGTACGACGCTGTAGTTGCACGCTACTCTTCCCTTGCCACTGCTGCTCTTAGCCGCCTCATGCTGCCGTACCTGTTCCCTGACCTTGCTGCCTTTCCCATAGTCGCTGACCTCATTACGCACCTCCGCACTAGTGACACTCGCTACCGCGTTGCGCTTCCTGCTGAGTTCTGCGCCAAGAACCCCCCCCCCCCCATGTACATCACCCTCAACAACATAGTCACCCGGCTCCCTGACTCCCTTCGCTTAGTCAGGGACCACTTCCTCTCAGTTTGCCCCACCACACTCACCGTTGACCTCCTCGAGGAGCGCCTCCTGGCAGCAGAGAAGAGCATAGTCGCTGTAGGAGCCTCTCGTAGTGACCCTCGTACCCCCGTCTTTGAGGGGTGTTCCCCCTCCCCCCTCTTGCCCTCTGTTGCTTCTGCTGCTCCGGCCGACTTTGTTGGCTTCGAGTCAGTCGGCGCTGCGTCTGCCCCTGGCGGGAGACGCCGCACCGGCAAGGGCAAGGGGGGCAAGGGCGCTGGAGGGGCTGGCCGGGGCGGTGGAGGTGGCGGTGGAGGCAGTGGAGGGGGTGGGGGTGGTGGTGGGAGTGGTGGCGGGGGTGGAGGTGTCGGTGGCAGCAATGGAGGCGGAGGAGGCGGCGGCGGTGGCGGTGGGAGCGGAGGCGGCGGAGGTGGCGGAGGCGGCGGCGGCAGCGGTGGAGCAAGTTGCGGCTCTGCGCAGAGGAGTGGTTCCGGTGGTGGTCCGCGCCAGCAGCAGCAGCGCACTCGTGAGACCCCGTCCCCCCAGCAGCTTCGTCAGTGGTACGCTGGGCGTCAGCGAGGTGGGGGTACTGGTCCCTGCACCTACCTCCTCCGTACCGGCGACCGCGCTGGTAAGCAGCGCGGGGGCCCGCACTCCACCCAGCGCTGCTTCGGCCGCCTGACGGATGCGTGGCATCACCGGTTCCCAGATGCCACTGAGATCTCTCGCTGGGGAGAGCTGTCTAGGGCGGGGGTTGCTATCTTTGATCTTGATTATGATTCTATTCTTGCTGCCATGTATGCTGTGTCTACTAGTGATGAGGGTGACTGTTACCTGTGTGTTCCGCCTGACCCGGGCATTGAGGCTGCTGCTCTAGGTGCTGGTGAGGCTCCTGCTCTAGGTGCTAGTGCATCTACTGCCCCAGGTGCTGGTGAGTCTGCTCTCTCAGGTACCACGTCGGCTCAGGTCTTACACACCTTCACCCTTGACTCGGATGCTTCCCGCTCCTTCTTTCGAGACCGCACCACGCTTACGCCGCTTAGTCGGCCGGTTGCGGTCTCCCTGGCGGACCCCTCTGGGGGTCCTGTCCTTGCTCGCTTCTCCACTGTCTTACCGTGTCCGGCAGCCCCCTCTGGCACCTTGTCAGGTCTCTACCTCCCCTCGTTCTCTATGAACTTGGTGAGTGGAGCTGATCTACAGGATAGGGGGGTTGACCAGCTCACTCCTGCGAATCAGCCAGTGACCCACTGTATGTGTGCTCGGACGGGCCGACACTTGGCCACGTTTACCCGTCGGCCGGGGTCGAGCCTGTACACACTGACTACTGAGTCTCCTCCGGTTGCTGAGTCTAGTCAGGTAGCTGCGTCGAGTCAGGTGTTTGCTGCAGCGTCCAGGTCTGGTCTTGAGTCTGCTCCCCGCTCGTGTCGTCTCCTGTCCCACCAGACTCTCCTTTGGCACCACCGCCTTGGTCACCCCTCCCTGCCTCGTCTCCAAGGCATGGCCTCCCGTGTCCTCGTCTCTGGTCTCCCCCGGTCCCTCCCTCCCCTCCCTCCGGGGCCTGCCCCTACCTGCGTCCCCTGCGTCGAGGGGCGGCAGCGCGCCGCCCCTCACTCCTCCGAGTTTCCTCCGACAGAGGCTCCGCTGCAGACTCTTCATATGGACGTGTGGGGCCCCGCCCGCGTCCGTGGCCAGGGTCACGAGCGTTACTTCCTGTTGGTGGTTGACGACTACTCGCGTTACACCACGGTGTTCCCCTTGCGCAGTAAGGGTGACGTCACTGAGGTGTTGATCGACTGGATCCGCGCTGCTCGTCTCCAGCTCAGAGAGAGTTTCGGCTCGGACTTTCCTGTTCTGCGTCTGCACTCTGACAGAGGCGGGGAGTTTTCCTCTGCCCTGCTGGGAGCCTTCTATCGTGCACAGGGCATCCGCCAGACCTTCACGCTTCCGTACTCTCCACAGCAAAATGGGATTGATGAGCGCCGCATTGGCATGGTCATGGACGTCGCTCATACGTCCATGATCCATGCGGCTGCCCCCCATTTTCTGTGGCCATTTACGGTTCAGTACGCAGTGCATCAGCTCAACCTTCAGCCCCGGGTCTCCTTGCCAGAGACCTCCCCCACCTTGCGGTGGACCGGGAAGGTTGGCGATGCGTCTGCGTTTCGGGTCTGGGGATCTCGGGCGTTTGTCCGCGACTTGTCTGCGGACAAGCTGTCCCCCCGTGCTGTTCCCTGCGTCTTCCTTGGCTTCCCCCTGACGCGCCTGGTTGGCAGTTTTAACACCCCACTTCGCGCCATGTTCTGTCCTCCCAGGACGTCACCTTTGACGAGTCGGTGCCTTACTACCGTCTCTTCCCCTACCGCACTGC